GTCAAAAATCATCAACAAATGTTATAATATTCACGAGCCAATAAAGAACAAAACATTCCCGTTCAGAATCAAATACAGTAGATTTGATTGATTTGGAGAATTTTTCAAAATCAACCCGTTTATTGGTCAACGAGACAATACGTAAAAATAAAATTTAATTAAAAAATTTCTGAGACAGGGACGCCTTAAGGCATGAGCCAACTGGCCCTGGGACGAAGCCTGGTCCACAATGGGGGTCTCGTCTCGTTCTTGACTCAGCCTTAATAAGATCCTGATTCGAATATTTTCAATAGTCAAATGTTTTTCTGGTTGTATTCTTTGAAAAACTGGAAATTTTGGTCAACTGGCTACAGTGATGACCGTCGTCCCTAAGTGTAAATCTATGCCTACCACCATACACCATCATTATTCGTTAAGTCAAATGGCGGCAGTTGGTCTAGCCGGTTTAAACGGTTGTAGGTCATGCACATTTATTTGTTTCGGGTTATTGTCTGTACGAGTATTTGACAACGTATGTTATGTACTGTCTACTTTTAAAGGTCATAGGTGGAGCTTATTTTTGGTAGGGGCCCAGAGCCTCAAAACATCCCTGTTCGGATCATGTAATTTTCGTAATGACTTCAGTTTTTAAATTTTTGTTATAAATGAATAATTGTATTCATAATATTTTGTATTAATTTATCTTTTTAAAAATACTTTATACCTTATATTTTTATTAATTTATCTTCATAAAAATAATTTATATAATCAAGCAAGTCTGTGAATGAAATAAAAAAAATATTTCTTCCAAAGCATAATGCTCAATATGAGAGATTAGTATTTTTTCCCACGATTAATATAATTGAATAAAAATTAATCATTTGTTTTTGGCACCAATAATATCATGTGGTTTAAAATGCATGCATCATATAATTATAAACGAATCACGTTTTTCCTAAAAGAGTAAACAAATGTAAAATTTGCTAAATATTTAATGCCATCGAAGCAGAACTTTCTATTTTTTTGGAAGAATTGGCCTAAAGCTATTCCATTTATAGGTATGTATAAACTAAAGTTATATTTTTACTTCAGGTTTGATTTTTGTTTAATGAATACTTCTTTTGTTTAAATGGTTATGCCCGACTAGATCGTCTAAATATTGCCAACATGCTTCATAATAATGATCCATAGTCAAATGACGAAATCGATATCTAAGATTGCACCCAATTTTTTAAATCCACACACACCGACGTTAAGATTCTTAAGTATGCCAAATTTTTGAAGAAGTAGTCAGAGTTGGAATTTGATTTTGTCTATTTCAATTGACGATGATTTTCTTTTAGAAGTACCATGAAAAAAAAAGCCTATTAATTATTTGCGATAAATTGAATCAGGCGTTACTTCAAAAAACATTAGTTTTTATTAGAACAATTTGATGTGTATTTTTTAAATATCAAATATAATTGATTTCTTATCGGCAGTAGGGATCACAAAGACAAGCAGGGCAACACACACACACAAAATCCCAAATTCTGTACCGTCGTTGTGCATGGTGATTAAACGATTCATATATTTGGTACTTCTCCGTTTCGCTGTAGCAGGCAATAAAGTCGCCAAAGATGACACAACCGACGTCAAATGGAATATTCTCACTGGTAAGCTTTTACCACCACAGTTTAGAAAGAAGTTTTAGTCTTTTCTTGACAGTAACGTCTTTTGGAAATTAGGCGATTCAGCCACATCCCATTTTTAGAAAAAAAAGCTAAAAAGCGTTTTGATAAAAAAATCTAATTTATAAAGAGAAAAAATAACATTAAAAAAAGAATGTGCAATATATAAAGCAGAATATTTCCGAGGCAATGTATACAATCATTTTTTTTTCTTTGTGAAATGTGTGCATGTAAAATTTTTAAATTAAGGCATTTTATATTAAAAATTTTATATAATTTCAGTTCTTATTCCTGATATATTTTTCATACAAATGTAATACTTTAATATTATAAGAAGAAAAACAGCTAAAATTTCTGTCGTGACAGAAAATTTTTTTTTTAACGTTTTTCTTGAATTTTCTTGTGCAATTAGTACTCTCTAAAAGTTGATCATTTATAAAAATGCGTGGGTTGAAAAAATATGAAAATGCAATTATTTTAAAGAAAAACGTATAACTAATATCTTAAAGTGGTATTTTAAGTTTAATTAAGCTTATAATAATTATTTTTTCAGAATTATAAACTTTAAACTGGTTTTTCTCAGTTTGTGTTTTTCGAAACCTTAGTGCATTCAAAATGCTACTCCTTCGACAATTATTTACCAATCACTTCAATTTTTCTCTTGCGTGTTAAAAATAAAGCATGTAATAAAATTAGAGATCCGTTTTGCTATAAACTGAATACTTTTTTTAAAAAAAAGTAAAATGTAAGACATGGTGGCTTTTTCGTTGATTTTTAGCCTGTATATCAACATTTTATTTTTGTTCTCGAAAACGAATGAAGTTATTCTAAAATCGATCCCTAAAGTTGTTTAGAACATCCATAAGAATATTATAAAAAAATTTCAGGTCAAAAAATTAATTTTTACAAAAGGAGTAGGATTTTAAAATTTTCCCAATTTTCTTCAAAAAATTAAAATTTTTAAAATTGTGTGAATAATATATGAAAATTTTCATCTGGTATCATTTTCTTGAATAGAAACATTGTATAAAATGCTAAAATATAATTTTTAAATACGTAAATAAAGAAATTTGCTCAAAGGGTTTCAAGTCCTCTTAATTATTATTACAACAATCGCCAACTCTATTAATAACTCGCCAAGTTGGCAACCCTTATTTCCTATGTGTCGTACGCCCTGAATTGACAACCAGGCGCTCCGTTTAATATAATGTCGCTAATGGCTTGCGATAATACTTAAGTACACCCGTCTTTTTCATAATACTTCAAAAATAGATAAAAAAACAATGAGAATAAATGTTTATTAACATTTTTTATGTGCATATTGTGTGTTGTCACCAATAAAGCTTGCTTGGTGATTTGCCTCGGCGAAACACAGAAGTACCATGTATTTTATCGGATAATATCTCTCTCCCTCTCACACATACGTGTGTGATTGTACTGGATCTCTAAGTACAATTATTTATATCCTATTATTTAATTTTACAGTTATAATAGAAATTAAAAATGCATTATTCAATCGTCATAAAAGTTCAATTTTTTAATAGATAGTTTGGTCGACAAGAAATATGGTTGGAGTTGGCGATATTTTGTCGGCTGCCGGGAGCAATATTTGGCGATTTATTGTCTATGCCCGACTGACGGAGTAGTATCTAGCTTTCTTCCTCAGCAATAATTGCACTAATTCTTTCATATTCCTTTTTATTTATAAAACTGATGTGCACAAATTAAAGTAATCAAACTCGTGAAGACTGATTAGATATTGGTCATTTTTCTATACATTTTCATTAGAGGCGTGGTAAAATGAATAAACCAAAATGTTCCAATTTGGCACCGATAATATAAGGAAGGGTTACAATGAAACAAACACTACAATTGCCGCCCAGCCATAATGGTGGATATGACCCTCGGCTTGTAATCCAGCGGGTTTGGGTTCGAGTCCCGAGTAAGGCATGGATGTATTTTCTTCGGGAAAAGAAGTCGGACTTTCACCTGTAATGGATTCCCGTCTCGAAATGGATTCTCGTACCCCTTCTGTTATATGCTGGGATCATCTTTTGTAATAAATGTCTATATTCTTCTGTTCCTCCACTTATATTTTGTATGTATACCAGGATAATATGCCCACGACAACAACACTACAATTACTAAATTTATGTATTTTATTATTCAGACTACTGACATCTGAAAATAATACAAGATTTTGATAGTAGAAATCTTAAACGCTTATATTCACTTATATTGTGATAGTTAAATCTTAAAACACTTACAAAATATATTTCACTTATAAACCCATATATATTTCAGGATGGAAAAGAGAGGTATTTTCAATGTTAGCCTTATATCTCATTTATCTATTTTTCGGAGCTTTTATATTTCTCACAATTGAGCAGGACAATGAAGAGTCTAAAAGAAATTCTAGTCTGACATCTTCACAAGAAATTATAAGTAAGAAAAAACTGCTCCTTAATATTTTTTTAGCTTAATTCATGCTATCAGAAACAGAGAAAGATTTCACTTGCAGATAAATATTAATTAGCTTATGATGAATGCAAACTATATATATATATATATATATATATATATATATATAATAATTCTTTTAATACGACAAGAAATGGAAGAATCTTTTTTACAATTATTATATCATTTTTATTCCGACAAGGAAATGGGAAGATAAGCACATTTATGTAACACGGTAGATACAAATATGTTTCTCAAAAGCCCGAATAAACATGTTAAAAGAAGGAGATGATTTGCATTGGAAAAAGAAGGATACTTTCTACGTCATCCAAAATCAGTTTAAGATGAAATAAATAACGTTTTTTTAATTTAAGAACCCAAGTAAGCGAAGTGATGTAAATTTTATATAAGTTATTGTAAAGTTTTATATTAGCCACACACACACACACACACACACAATTTGTTTAAATTGTCAATCGTTAATAAGATACTTTCTATCCATTCATTCGAGTTCAAATACATTTTTTTAAACTTGTTGTGGATGACACTTAATGTTAAAGCATTTTTTCAAAAATTAATTCATTAATTAAATTAAAAAATGAATAAATAGTAACAAACAAAAATAATAGTCAAACACCATATATAGAAAGGAAATTTGCTCCTAGTGTCCCTGTAGTGCAATGGATAGCGCTTTAGACTTTTAAAGCAAAGGTTGTTGGTTCGAATACCACCTAGGGTGGCCTGTTTTCTGAGAATGTGATTTTTTTAGTATACGAGATTTTATTAGAATTATTAAAAAAATAATTCATTAATTAAATGAATAAATAGTAACAAATAAAATCATACAACACCTCACACACACTTATATAAAAAGGAAAATCGCTCTTTGTGTTCTTGAAGCGCAATGGATTGCGCTTTGACTTCCAATCCAAAGGTCGTGGGTTCGAATCCCATCCATAGGGAGAAATAATTTCTGAGAATGTGATTCCTTTTTTACTATTTTATTAGAATAATTCAAAAAGTACTTCACTATTTTCACACACATTTCTATACTATTTTCTTAGAATAATTCAATTTAATTAATGAATAAATAGTAACAAACCAAAAATGGTTCAAAACTATGTAATAATATTCCCTTTGTTATTGAAGGTTCTTTGTTTTAACTAAGTTCCATTATTTACCAGGCACAAATAAAGTCAGGCTATCTTTTGCGGCCAAAGATTTATTGTTCTATATACAGCCACACACAACAACAACAAAAATAATATAAATAATAAATATAAATTAATTAAATAAATTATAATATAAATTTATTTAAGACCATTTTGTTTCATTACTCGTGAAAGTAACCACCATTCGCCTTTCGTCTCAATGTTCTACTGTTCCTTTCTCTCGATTTCGATGGAAGTGTCACCTATATAATTTTTTAACACCAAGCGAGTCTTACATATATATAGAAAGGAAAATATAAAAATTGTAAGGAATATTGCTTTCTATTTTGTCACTTAAGGTATCCGACTACGTTCGGAACCGTGATTTTGCAAAAGCGCATAAATGGTTAATTTTCATGATATTTAGAGTCACTTAGATTAGAATATATGCATAAAATTGTTTTAAGGACATTTTGACAATTTTTTTTTATTTAAATACAATATTTTGGCAAAAAATTAACATAGAATAAACTTTTTTCCAAATGTTCTCCTTCTGTGCAAAATGGTTCTATTATAATAATATTTTGCCTGTATAAAATTCAGACCTCTCTACTGAGGTTCAACTAGAATTTTTGAAATATATAACTAAGAAGTGGGTTTATTCATATTTTACGATTACAGAGGGGAAAAATTTTAAGATAAAAACACCAATAATTATTTCAATTGGTGGTAACTCTGAAAATAATGTGAAGTTTCAAAAATTCTAGCTGAGCCTCTGTAGAGATGTCTGAGGTATATACAGGCAAAATATTATTATAATAGAACCATTTTTCACAAAAGGAGGACATTTAGAAAAAGGATTATTCTAAGTTAATTTTTTTACCAAAATATTATATTTAAATAAATGTTTTTGTCATAATGTGTCCTTAAAACAGTTTTATGCATGTATTCTAATCTGAGTGACACTAAATATGAAAATTATCCATTTATGCGCTTTTTTAAAATCACGGTTCCGAACGTAGTCGGATACCTTAATATTATGATTCTGTCTCAAATGTATAAATATATTTATATTAATTATATAACTATTTTATAAAAGGTAATTAGAATAAAATTTTTCTTTGTTGATCTAAGTAGGAATTGACTTAAATTTTTCTATTATATTTCTTGTTTTCAATGACAGGAATGGTTGAAGTTTTGAAAAAGAAGAATTTTTCCTACCAAGTAATTGCTCAGACATTCAATACGAAACGCTTAGAAGCGGTCGAATCTGAACGTTCTAAAAGCATACATTGGCAAAAAATTTTCGGAGAAAAATTTTTATTTTGCATGATTCTTATTACAACAATTGGTAAGTTTTATAGAATGTTCACTGAATCTAAGTATAAAATTCATGCACAAAAATTCGTAATAATGCAAAAGTAATTGGGATTTGTTATGATTTAAATCAGTGGTTCTCTTAAACTTTTGATCCCCGCGGCCCTCCTACATGCATAAGCCTGATATCGCGGACCCCTAAGATTTTTGTTCCCCCCTCCTTCCCTGGCTCCCAATACATGGTTGAGTGATTTAAAGGTTCCTCAATAGTCCTAAGATTTCTTCTGCCATTTACAGTACAACATCGCTTATCAGAACGTTTATTATCCGGAGCGTCAAATATCCGGACCAATTTCTTTTCGTCAACTACATGTACTGTATATGAATACATTTTCGAACAGTGCAGTGCTCAACAGTTGTTTCGCGTGAGGCCAAAAGTGACGCGGGAAAACCCAAGGTCAGGGATATTTGGGGAATTTCAGTTGAGTGATTTGGTAAACATCTGCACGGAAGGTCAGTTTGCTTCCAAGTGAGTTCCAAAATAAGTGATTATTTTCCACAATAAAGGTAAAATTGCGACATTTTGCACCTAGTTTACTTTGTCTTCAAGCACTTTTCCCGCATGTGATGATATTCAATATTCGTATAGTATCTGTTTTCATATACTGCAGGGATCGCATTTGATTTTCGGTTATCCGAACGGTGTCCAGTTCCAATTCATTCGGATAAACGATGTTCTACTGTATATAGAATTTCTTAACGCTTCCTTTTTTTCCTTTAAAAACAGTGGACATCCAATTATATTTATATTCAGAAGTATTACAAAATACTAGTTTTTCAAATAAGTAAATAATGTAGGTGCAATTTCATTACGAAATCCAGATGGATGCAATCGCTATCGTATTGGCACATTGTGAGAATTCAGTTTTTAATCTTTGTTTATCGTCGGCCTAATTATTAGAATGCGTAACTCCACAAAGGAAACTAAATTGATATACGAGTGCTACGCACCAAGCGCTGTTTGGTGCGATTCCTTAATCGCGCCTAACGATGCACATGGTCATACGATACAAATATGAAGGTAACCATATTGTAAAGTTATCACCCATCTTTGCGAACATAAACAACAGCTTGGCGCGTAGCACTCCGATATCAAATTAGCATCCCAGATGGAGTTACGCATTCTGATAATTAGGCCGACGATATGTGTGTTTTTACTACATATTTTTTTGAAAACATTACGTTTTAGTAATGGCTATGTAGGCAGACAATAAAAAAAAACAACTGGATTAATATTCTTGATTGAAATACACGTTCTAGAAATATTGTTTCGTAGATCCGGGGTTCGAGGATTTTATGCAAATCAGTCGCAAAGAACAAGACAGTTCTTTAAGAGCGATGAGAATTCCTTGTCAAAAATCCTTGAAATACAGGATTTAGCAGCAATATTCGCAGAATAAATCTCAGAAGGTCTTTACACCTTCAACAGTATTCAGACACAAATACTGGTGACGAAAATACACGTATATAAAAGATTATTCACAAGCAATCGCTTCAAAATCAACAATAGTTCGCTTCAAAATCAGAGCAATACTAACTGAACGCTAGTCAAAACCAGACTGACTGACTTTCAGCGAGCATCTCTCTATTTTATATCCCTCGCGGATAATTCGAGAAAGACCCGCTTGCGTCATATATCTTGAAATTAGTGTTTTTCTCTACCAATGTATAGAAGAATCTAGATTGTGTCCCAAACTCGCCAAAAATGGTCACCAACATGATCGTCAAGTCACCAAAATGGTCGCCAAATAGGCTCTATTGCTAAGATTTCGCCAAGCTCCCATTGAACCACCATTATAACGTAAGGGACGGCTTTGCTTGTGAATATTACATTTTTCACGTTAATTAAATCTAATTTAGAGTAATATAAATGCATTACACATCCAAATACAAATTATTTACACTATTTTACACAAAATTCGTAACAATATTTTTACTGGGGACAATTTAGTGATCTATTCTAAGATGGAACATCTTTCATCAATTTTTCCGTGAGATCTGCCAGAGTCTGAAAAAGAGGGAAATTTTAAAATTAGATGAGAGATCTTAGCGGACCCCAGTCTTAGAACCGTTGATTTAAATGATTTCTACTGCTTCAGAGTAATAAAGCAATTCGGACAGTATGTGATTCTATTTAAATCATTGCAAATATTTCGAGAAGAAAAATAACTCAGCTATCTGAAAATATGCAACATTTATATTATACAAATCACCGGAATATTTGGATGAAAAAATTATTAAATATTAACAGAAATGCCAAGGCTAAATTTCTAAATGATTAAGGCTGCACAGTACCCTTTTTCAGAAAAAAAAATATTTAGTGACAGTAACAGTAAAAATAATTCATATTTTATATTCATGCTAGTTGGTATACGCGTACCTCGCAAGGGGTTAACTGAAAAATTAAACAATACAGGTTGAAGGATAAAAAAGTTTTTTATGAGTTAATTTGACGTGAATTGCAAATTAAACAAACAAATGAACAAACAAACAAACCTTTTTGTATATCTCACCTGAACAAAAAAAAATTCATATTTGTTAAATTTTAAGTCTGTAGATCTAATAGCTGATAAAAAGGATTTTTTTTTATCCATAACGCACCCCGTAACTCTCTTGTGGATCGATTTTTGAAAACACCATCCTAAGCTGATCTCTAATCAGCAAAAGTAACACATTGTTACATATTTTGTGTAATGAAAGCTTAAAATAGTGTAAATAATTTATATCTGTATGTGTAATAAGTTAATTTAACCTTCTGTTATATTTATTTTATGTTAAAATTGTAATATTCGCAAGCAATGCTGTTCTTTACATTATAATGGCGATTCAATGGAAACATAACGAAATGTTGGCGACCAACATTTGGCAATTGATTGAACAGTGCAGAAGTTGATATGCTGTAGCGCCACCTAGAAGGAAGCTGCAACAAAGAGGATAGCATGAAAACCTTCTCCACAAAAAATACATATACATGCCAATTTCCATAGTGATCGGTTGAACGGTGTTAGACTGAAGCGATTTCATAAATACAGACATCCATATATATATATATATATATATATATATATATATATATATATATATATATATATATATATATATATATATATGGATAATATTATTAAGTTTATTCTGAAAGCAAAAAGTCAGTTTGACCAGCTATTATTTTACAAATTTAAAAAATTAGGAAATTTTGAACTTTTTTCAAATTTTTATAAAATGCTCAATTTTTTTTTCAAAATTTTTTAGTCATTTCGAGTTATTTAAGTTTCTTAGATTATTGAAAATAAAATTATTATGTATTTAAAAACCTGTTCCCTTGTTGATTTTTAATAATTATATTTTTGTTTAAATCTGGAAAAAACATGAAAATTTTTAAAATATTAACTTAAGCATTTCTTTAATAAATAACTAGAGATCCCAAACCTAAATCCCT